ATACAAATATGTATATCCTATATATACACAATCAACAGAAACATGTATACATATGCACACATTAAGACATAAATAAAAGGTGAACATCGTAGCAGGTGAACACCAGCTTTCCTAAACAAACATGCTGTGTTTGCTTTTAATTCATGTGTTAAACTAAAATAGCATTTGTAAAATAATATATATAATTCGAGAGGACACATTTTTTATCCTAAATGTCTTGTTTTCTAAGGTCACATTGTTCTGTTGTCTCAAATAATACACCAATTACTGAGGTAATAAAGTACAACACATCTTATTGATATTTATTTTCTCTTAGATTTATTCGGAATGCATTTGATATTGAGGTAATCCAAAAGACAGTAATCGGGTTACATTTATTTTTTATTGTGATACTCAGATTAATGACATTTATTCAAGTAACAAGTCGATTACAGATTACATTTTTTAAGTAACCCTCAACACTGCTGAAGATACTAAAGGGTTATTGTGTAGACTCATAAATAGATCATCTCCAGTAAAACTGTTATTTAAACTGTAATTTAGCCAGTGGTGGCTCGCCCCCCCTAAACCACACACAGTGGCGGCTCGCCCCCCCCTAAACCACACACAAAAACATTATTATTATTAATAATAATATTAATAAATTATATATATTGTCAATATTGGTGTGTTTAAAATATGGAATGCACCAAGAAATATGCGTAAAATATGATTTTATAATAATTTGTGCAAAATATATGCTTTTCCTATACACTGTATGACTGAAGTTCAGTGCTGGGGCGATGGAGAAATCGCCCCACGGAGTCGGGTCTGTAGCAGGTTAGCCAATTGCTGATTCAAGATATGAACGTGTGTCATAACATGTAGCCAATCAGGGTCCTCAAAACTACTGGAGGAGCACCTAGCCACCGTTTTTAAAGGCACGTCAAAGACGTACACCACATTGATTTTAGAATAAGAATAATTATTATTCGTTTGTTACATCTTCTACATTTTGTATTTCTGTTGATTATACCATTGTATATTTCCATACATATATATATATATATTATACATCATACATACATAGCCTACATAGGCCTACATACATATGTATGCAAGTGTTGCTAATGCCATTGTTTTTACATTTTTGTACATAGTCTTCAGTCTCAAATGCTTATATTGTTTATGGAGGCATTGCCATTTAAGACTGGTAAATGAACAATGAAAACTCCTGTTTTTTTTGCATTAAGTCATACTGGGATGTTTGCTGAAATGTATTGCATGTGGCATAGCCCTAAAATATTCCACCAGCAGCCACTGAGTTTGGCCCACTTCCTGTTTCAGTCCAGTGCTTAGTTGTTTGTAAAGAGTCCCGGCTCTACATGCACCGGATCCCTCTTGTTTTGACTGTGTGTTGCGTTTACTGTCACTTAAAGAGAGATGAGTGTTTGTGTTTACGGAGCTGACACCCGCTCTTCCTCCATCTTCTCCTCCACCTGTGACACCCTGTGACCGCCCGGGCCTCGCGGGGTCGATGCCCTGCAGGGTGTCGCGTTGCCCGGAGGCTCGAGTATCGATGCATGGCCGATCGCTATCATAATCACACTTCCCCCCTCTTATCGCTTACCTCGTGAATAAAACATCTGCCTTCCTGCCCATGGATCACTCACCCCCCAACCCCCCAAAAAAGGAATCTGGCGGGAGGGAGACTTCTTGAAGTGTCTTTGAGATGTAACGTGAGAGCACCGCGCGATGATACCCAACATTTGCGGTCCCCAAAGTTGTTTTTATCTCAGGCATCTTAATATACCCGATCTAGTTGACAGCGCTGTGTCCCAAGATGATAACTGTGAGGGGCATTCATCGGAGGTGTGATTTCATCCAAAAATAATCTGCAGATAGCCTCACTAAACAGCCCTTCAGTGGAAAATTAGCTTAATCTTATTATTACCTAGTTTACTTGAACCGTAAATGTTGAGTAGGCCTACACACCCACGTGTTATGTTATAAATGCTGGATCCCCAGCATTTGGAAACTACTTAATGCTTCCTTGGTGGTTGTTGGGCAACTTGAATAGTTAGCACAAGTTGCATTAATTAGCATTACTTTGTGGACAGGGTTAGGGTACCTGCTGGAATCTGCACAAACTGACTGGCCATGGCATGAATCGTGTCAAGACCATAATGTCAAAGTAATTAACTCGACTATGGACAATTCAAATAAGCAATCTGTCCAATACAAACCATCCAGCGTCCTCAAAAACTTCAAAATTCATCAATATCGACGCACTGGGACTACAAAAATTGTCACTTTTTGGTCCCAACTGCAATTTTGGATCCTGAAAACACAACTTATCTGCGGTCCTCAGACACGGGCCTGCTCTCCATCCCCCGCTCTCGCCTCCGAACTGTTGGTGACAGGGCATTCAGTGTTGCGGCCCCTACCCTCTGGAATGCACTTCCTGCCGAGATCCGTAATGCTGCCTCCCTGGACATCTTCAAATCATCACTAAAACACACCTGTTCACCCTGGCCTCCGGGCCCTAGCCCTTTTCTGGTCCCCCGGCTTCCTTTATTTATTTATTTGGTTTGCCCGTTGATTGTCTGTTTGTTTTGTTTGTCCACCATGTACAGCGACCTTGGGTCCCTTGAAAGGCGCTATATAAATTTAATTTATTATTTATTTATTAACTTATACTTGTGCAAATTGCTGCAAGTTAGCATGCATCAGTTTCTATGTGCTGGGGACCCGTAGCACTGTAAATTTCTACATAACACTTTAGGGTTCTCAACATTTCAGGTTTCCCAATAGGACCCTGGCAAATAGACTATTAGCCTATAGCAAATGTAGTGGCTACATTTCTGTATAGTCTCTATAGGGGCCCCTCATACCTGCGGCTGGCAAAACGTGTCCCGGCTCCTGCAACTCGATCTCTTCAAACTTTGGGTACATGTTAAGATCTGCCTGTAGTAGGAGGCATATGAACCATTAATGTATGAGGAGCACCTGAAAGCTGTAAATCAGAGAGACCACACACAGCTGCTGGCCTCGGGCAGGTACGGTCAGCACCAGAGGTAGAAGAAGAACTCAGATTGTGTACTTAATAGAAATACCAAAGTGTAGAAATACTAGGCTATTACAAGTCCCGCATTGAAAATGTTACTCAAGTAAAAGTACAAAAGTATCAGCATCAAAATATGCCTAAAGTACCAAAAGTAAAGGAATCATTATGCATTGCAGATTGGCCCATTTCAGAATAATAGCCTATATATTATATGTTATGATTATAATTATTGATGCATTAACGTGTTGTCAAAGCTGGTAAAGGTGCAGCTAGTTTCAGTCACTTTGTATACGGCAGGGTATTTTGTGAATGTTTCACTAAAGTCTCATTTAAGTGTATGGGATCATATCGGATTCAATACAGAATTGAATCGTGTCAAACAACGTGTGTCGAATAATATCCTATTAAATTGTTATCATGCAGTTGATTTGTGTCTGATGGTATTGTATAATATCGTCCCTTTGCTGTAACAAGGTAAATTCCCCCGCTGTGGGACGAGTAAAGGATTTTGATAAATTGAAAAAATACAGATACGTTTTTAGTTACTCACTCCATCAGTCCCTTCCACTTGGACCACTAAAATCTGAGCTCACTAAAGAGTGGGAGGTTAGGGGCCGATTGTTAGAGGGGGGTAAGGCGAGAAGAGCTGTTAAGCTATTAGGACAATTAACAAAGTGGTCAGGAGGGGCTGAGCGGGATGAAATGGGTGCGAGGCGAGGGTGTGAAGTGACAGTCAGCACATCTGCTCTCATCAATAATGCAGCGCGCCTTTAAACGGCAGTTTGTCGCATATCGAGCGCTGCCAACTGAAATCAAGCCTGACACCCAAGATGTTGTCAGGGGAGAGTGAAAGGGTGACAGTGGGGGAGGAAGAGGATAATGGAGGAAAATTTAACTTTTTTCTGTGGCATTCTTTAAAGTGTGCAATAGAGAGAAAAAGACTAAAATCAAGTTTACAAGAAAGCTAACCCCATTGATTTGAATTCATACCGTCAATTGATTTTAATTTATTAGTTTCTATAATTATCTTATCCCGTGTTTCACTCTTAATGCCGTTGCTGTTACACCAGATTTTCCCGACGATGATCATTAAACATACAAGTGTTACATGATGTCACTATGTTCAGGAAGTAAACAATTAAGTCCAATGGAGGCGTTGCAGGCCCTGTCCACACGGAAACTAAACGGGTGGTATCCGCTATAGTTCTTTATCGTATGGACGGTTCGTCCACACGAGGCCGCATCGGAACCGAGGAAACGGAGCACTCAAACAATAACACATCTCAAAGTGGGAAGGTTTGGTAACACAATGCTTGCGGCACCGTGTACGCCCTTAACGATCATAGCCCTGCCTCTCCTGCTCACCCCCGCGTCATTGCTGATGCGTTTTGCCAACAACAACAACGGCGGATCACAGGGTTGTGTTCGTGCTCCAGACGCTAGACCATGATACAGATGTTAGTGCAAATCTACAGCTCCTCTACCACAAGCATCAGCAACAAGTGGACATGGAGAACTACATGAACTACATGTTGCTAAGTCCACCGCGGAGAATAACCAGAAGGGCAACCATGGCAACCATGCTCGGGGGGCCTTCTTCGCTGCTTTTGGTGTATTTTGTGGCGGAAGTACAGCGCCACTTACAGGCCCGGCATATGTACTACAGCGTCTCCAGCGAGTCGAGCGGTCTTGCGTGGACGGACACGTTTCTTGTGCCGATTCCGTGTGGACGGAAGACTTTGACCTCGGCTCGTTTTCGTCTCCGTGTGGCCGGGGCCTCAGGCAGTGTGTGAGAGAGAAACTCCCTCTGATGGGTGCACAGGGATTCTAGCCATTTACATGCACAAAAACCTATATCACACACTACAGGAAAAGGAAAGCTACAAAAAGCACAAAAGGGCCCCTTAAATAAAAAACATTTATCCAAAGAGAACAAAAAACATCTTTACAACACTTGAATCCAATAATCACTTTTATTATCAAAATGAAAAATACAGAGGACTGAACAGCTCTCCAGAAAGTACAGACATCATTTTGACTCCATGTATCTTAACCAATAGCGGCTGCAGTGATCAAACAAAAAACAAAAAAAGAACGACAGTCCGCCGCCGTTAAACCATTTGAAAAAGCATGAAAAAGAAAGGCTTTGAGAGAGTTCATTTCCCCGTGATGAGAGGGTTCCTCAGCACGATGATGACGGAGTCTCCTCTGAGGAACATTTTGGAAATGTAGCGGTCCTTATTCACCGGCTTCGACTTCTTCTTCCCCTTCCCGCTCTTGGGAACCTCCGTCCACATCTCCTTCACGTTCTCCAAGACCATGTTGCAGTGCCTGAAACGACAGTGAGCACGTTAAACAACTGAAATAACAACAAGCCTCATGCAGAACAAATTATAACACAATCAGATTTATTCTTAAGAGGCTCAAACGTGTAATTTAAAAGGAATTAGCACTTTTTGTTGCAAGTACTAAAAAAACTCGATCTGTCAGACAACCACTTTCAGATCAACTACATTGCATCTCAGAGGAAAACCACTACTTTGATTCAAGATCAGCTTTATCTGAATGGATTTAGAAGTTAAATATAAAACAAGAATTAATACATATAAACAGTGCAAAGGTTGAATTCTGTCCACCATATTATCGTCACCATGGTAGAGGATTTTGTGATTTTGATTGGCATATTCCAGAGCCGCAGCAGCTTTTAGGGAAATTCACGTTGACAGCTGGCTCGTGTTTTTGATGCAGGTCGCTGTTCACTATCATCCTCTGTTGATGTAAACTGCTACATTACCTACAGTCTGCTTTAAAATTATCAAATGAAATATTCCTGGGACTGCCACATCCCTCTGACCACCAACAGTAAATCGTTACTATTAACTAATATTATTATTTTCCTGTATCAACACATTTTTCACATCTGCTCAGAGATGGGGACTCGAGTCTGTGACTCGGACTCGAGTCGCACTTAAGTCGCACACACAGAGACTTCAGACTTGACTTGGACTCCTGCTCAAAAGACTTCGGACTCGACTTGGACTCGTGTTTTGGGACTCGTGAACAATCATTGTGTTTTCTATTTTTGGCGTATTAAAGGTGGGGTAGGTAAGTTTGAGAAACCGGCTCGAGATCGCTAGAATTTGAAAATACACAACCGGAGAAAATCTGCCACTTCCTCACAGAGCCCCTCCTCCAACACACACGAACGCGCACATGACCAATGAGGGCACGAGATACGTATGTGCCCCGATGGGAGGCTGACAGGCAGGTAGGCCATCCAGTTACTTTAGCCGGGCCGGCTATCGGGATGTTAAGAGCATTCCATGGAATATAACAAAGTGTATCTCGAGCCGGTTTCTCAAACTTACCTACCCCACCTTTAACATTAACATTAACATCATGGTAGCACCATGGCGACCGGCGGCACACCTGCAGCTGTACCGCTTGTACTTAGGTTCAACTATAAAAACTTCGAACAAAACGCCGGCGGCACCAACAAACGGAGCGCACACTGCAAAGTCTGCAATATTAAAATCAAGGATGCTGGTGCAACAACGTCAAATGTCATCAGGCACTTGAAAACTCACCCGGAGAGGTCAGTCACATTAACGCATATGGACGGTTAGCAAACATGTTTAGCTCAGCATCAGCTATGTAATGTTAACTTAGCTTGCTACTAGCTTTGTAACTGAATATTTGAAAAGACGAGTGAATGTTTGCTCGTCACACTTGTTTGCGTTGAGTGGCGTTGACATCCAACTCTTGACATGACATAAAAAAGGTCGGTAACGTTAATCATTACGTTCCGCTGCCACCATCTACTGGCTAACGTTAAACGTAGAAAAATACATCGTTACATACATAAATACATCTGTCGGTTTATAGGCAGGTTACAGGTTTATTGTTGACCACGTAACGTTAATGTTACAGGTTTATCAGGTTACCATTACACTGGGTTTGAGTGAGAGGATAGAGGAATATGTTTATTTATAGTAGACTTAAAAGATGTAATTAGAGACCCAGTGTAATTAAACAATACGGTTGCAGAGGTCAAATTTTAACATTTTTGTCCACTGGCCAAATGGCTAGCCTAGTGAATGTTGAAATGTTACCAGCCACTCAATAGATTGCCATTGTTATTTTTGGCTGGTGCGTGCAACATACAGTACCAGCCACGTGCATGATTTACCAGCATTTGGCTGGTAACTGGTGTTAATGGTAGATATCTCTTTTGGAACAGGTCATGTTTTAATATCACCAGTTCAGTATATTTCAGATAATATTGCAGCAATAGTTTTTTAGTTGCAAATGGCACAGAACAAATGTTTACTTTTAAGTACTTTTAACACAGTTTCCCTGCGGGGGATTAATCAAGTATTTGTGATACTGATTTCTGATTCTGAAGTGTTTTGCTTATAAGTTGTTTGCATTTAGCTAAAGTGTGATGTTTTCCTCATATTGCATTGCAATAGCCTGTTTAAAGTGATCATATAACAAACAACTAATCAGTACTGATACTGTATGCTAATAGATATATGAGTGATAATAATACAGTAAATGCTTTGAATTTCTTAGATATAGCTGTGCAGTATTCTTAACAGACTGGATAGCAGCAGACAATAGAAGGCTTATTACAACCAGAAGAGACATGAGACTTTTATTTTTTAGAGACTTGAGACTTGACTTGGACTCGTGACCAAAGACTTGAGACTTGACTTGGACTCGTGACCAAAGACTTGAGACTTGACTTGCAAAAAAAGACTTGTGAACATCTCTGCATCTGCTGGTTTAAAAATGCAGAATCTGAAATTGTCACGTTTCTTTGTGTTACCGTTACGTAACTTTTTTGGGTCGGGAAAACTTGCTTACGGTTAAAAAATCTAATTTAACAAAGCAGGGTGAATCATAAAATTAATAAATATATAAAAATAAATGTAAACAGCATTGGGATGCTGCAATTGATTACTGTAACTGCGTCAGACCCAAGATGCTGATATTGCACCTATATTAATGCAAGGAGTATTACTTTAGGGACAATTAAATGTTTTTATTATTCAATTATCTTCATGTGTTATTGTTATATTTATCTGTTATTTATTATTCCATTTTGAAGTTAATATGTTACTGTATTAATCTACAATCATTGCTTTACCATAATAAATGGTAAAGCCCACTATTAGAGAGTGAGACCAAAGCAATATTGTAATAGTTAATGATCAGTGAAAATACCATTTTGAATTAAATGTATTATATAATAACCCTAACAGGATCAAATTATGTATAAATAAGATATTATATTCACAAACATGGTGAGATTAATCAGAATCCGGTAGCTTTACACATACGAGAGATAAAAAGTAAGAAAAACAACCACAAAAAACAAATAATTATAAATGAATATATGAAATCTGGACAAAACTACTTACAGTATACTATAACAAAATACTCAGAATAATAAAAATATGATTATAATGTATTCATTCTTATTAATTTTCTCTGTGTGCTTTTATTTAAGTAATTGGTGTGTAAGCTGAGATATACTTCGATATCTTGCTACACGATTAAGGTGAGAATATTGTCCCCCATGGAGAGATGTTATATGTGCAATAACTATCCTGCACACATTTGTGTACGTATAAACGTTTACAAAAATGACAATAAAAAAGAGTATTAAAAAATATAAGAATAATAAAAATATGTGCAGTATTGTTAAGATGAGCTGTTCACGACAACACTGCACATATTTGATTCATTTGGCTCGGAGCCTACCTGTCGAAGGCCTTGACTCTCCCGAGCAGCTTCTTGTTGTTGCGGCAGTTGATGAGGACCTGCGTGTTGTTCTTCACGGACTGAGTGAGCACCGACAGAGGGCCGGTGTTGAACTCCTCTTCCTCGCGTTTCTGCAGCTCCTCTGGAGTCATCTCCGACTTGGGCTTTGTTAACAGACTCCTGATGAAAGACACACAAAACAATACCAATTAAAAAACAATCAGAAAGGGGCACACCACCACCACATGAAATACAACTAACTGTAATTAGCTCTAAATGGATTAATAAGTATTCTTTTGGTTTGCACTAATGTACATTTCCCAAAGATATTGAAGTGACTGTTATTTTGTATATATTGATTGTTGTGCTTTTATTTATGTCTTCAATTCAAAACCTTTATTTATCCAGGTGTAAATCCCATTGAGATCAATGATCTCTTTTTCAAGGGAGACCTGCCGTCTTAATGTGTCTGTTGATTTTATATATATATATATATATATATATATACATGTTTTTTATTTTACTTTTTCTATTTGGGATTGTGGGAAACGGTATTTCGATCTCTCTGCCTGTACACAAACTGAAAGATTGGCAATAAAGTTGACTGACTTATTGGGGTGTCGACCTAGTTGTCTTAAATGCTGAAGGAATTGGCTGTTTATTTTATTTGTATTGTTACTGCTAATTTCATCATCATTGCGTCCTTTATTGTCTGTACTAAATTAAAAAAAACATACCAATCAATGTGTTGATAAAAAGACATGCTGAGAATTGCTCCTAGTCAGAAAACCATTTCCCCTTTAATATTACACAAAAAAAGGCGTTATATTGAATTAGAGGTGGGCTTATTACACCATTGCTTCAACCTATTGATCTGTAGAAAATCGTATGTATTATTATTGGGTCCCTTTTGACTGCGTATGTTAGAGGAATGTGTTTCCTGGGTTTATTTACATTATTGACTTGGGGACTTTTGACCAATCAAAATAAGAGTTTACCATTACATTTAGGGTGTTACACAGAAAGCCTGCTGTCATTATGGTCCGACACTGAAGCTATTTGAAAAGTAAAAAACACAAGGTAACGCAGTTCCCTATGCCTGGGTATGTCACTAATGTGTAAAGTTTGAACACAGAGACAGTTCTGTTCACTACAAATGTATTATCAAAAATGCAGATAAAGATTGTATTAGTTTTCCACCAATAACAGCTATAAAGAAACATACAAATACACCACATATATAATTATTATCCCTCCAAACTATTTCCCGGTGCAGAGGATTTTAAAACACAAAGAAGTAAACATTTCCAACAACACAATGTAAATTATTATATTCAGCTTAAGTATTAATTGAAAGTAATTCCTTTTACATAAAGGCGTTAATTGCCATGGTTTAAATGATTTTAAAGGAGTGTGTATATTTGGTTAAATAAAGCTTAACAACTAAAATCACCATCATTATATTATAAATACACTGATAGTTCCTTCTGATGTGTTCCTTAATGCCCTCAGGGAGAGGAGCTATGAAGGAATCAATTGGAAATATGTGTTTTCTCCATAATAAAGTCAAAGAGGTTTCATTCACAACTTAAAGACAAATTAAGAAACAATTCGTCATTTATTTTATCACTAGGTACTCTAGGTGTTGAGTGTTTTCTAAAAGGAAAAACGATACAACTTCAGGATGAGGACATTTTTATAAACTTTAAAAGGTGATGGATTTAATACAAATAGTGTAAAACAAAATGTATTTTAAGAAATTGACAGATTTTCACAGTTTTTACAATATGGCACCACTATTAAAAATAAGGTCATAAAAAGCAAATGTGTATTTCATAAATATTTTACTTGAAATGTTACCTTTCGTTTTTAACCACCCTTTTGCTTCACATGTCTTTATTTTATTCTTTGACTCTGTATATGTCCCCTTGATATCACTAATGTGTGTGTGAGTGTATGTCATGTTTTATGTACATATATATTTTCTTGAATAAAAAGGAACAACACAATTCGCATCAACTGTAGTGCTTTTCGCATCAACTGTAGTGCTCGATATTAGCATGTGGCTAACTAGCTCATAGCAATGCTTTTGTGTACTACAGAAGTAACTTATCAACTGAACCACAGCAGTATGAAATGAATGAATACAGCACTTTATCTGTATAATGTAAACGTAACCGAGTTGCAGCATAGCTCGGCTGTAGAATATATAGAAGCAACAATACATTTAAAAAGGATTCATTAACTCCAGTTAACCGGCCTTGGCTAACATGCTAACATTGTTAGCTTAACAACAGTTAGCTTCCGGCTGCTGCGGTTTTAATTTAAGGATCAAAGACCGAAAGTGACCACAGAGCCAAAGAAAGGTTGATCATTAAAAGTACTTACATGTTTGCAGATTTATAAAAACAGTCTTCTCAGATAGTATTCCGCTCTTCGTCTCCGGAACGATTCAGCAAGACCAGCGTGGATGGAGCTACTTCCGGTTCACCTACTGCGCGCTTAAAAACCTTGGCAATAACTTCCGGGTCACTACTTCATTGAATAAGAACAGCACACATTTTGTTTCTTCCCTTTATTTATTCAAGAACATTATGAACATCATATTTTGTATACAAAAAAGTTGACATCATGGGAAGACATATAAATAAATAAATAAATGCATTAAAAGAAGAATACAGTTTCATATTTCAGATTAAATATTTGTTAAATACACAAAATTAGGTTTAGTCAGCCCATCTCGAATGTAACATTTCCCTAAAAATAAAATGAGTTACCTGAAATGTACTCTTGTTATCACCTTCTATACTAAATATCTGATTTAGATTCAAATACATGCTCCTTTTGTATAGATATTGAAAAACTAGAAGAGTTTGGGATAAATTCCATTAGCTTACTTTTACAAATATTCAAATGTCAAAATATGATAGCAGAAACATTTGGCCTTCAGATGGAAAGTAAAGGAGACTACATTTGTATTAGTATTATAGGCAAAATATTTAATTAACAAATGTTGTATTCTCAAATGTATCCCTTATTGATTATTTTAATGACATGGTACTATATCAAATGTCAATACAATTTTGCAAAACTAAAAGAAGCGTTACATTTTCACAAATATCTTTGTTCCTCCTTTTTATTAATTAATCTATTTTATTTTAAGAATTATATTACGTTTTACGCCGGGCATTATGCATTGCTTTTGCAGGAAATTGTCACAGAAAAAAGGCAGAAGGAGCCGCCAACGTGACACCGCAGACCCAAACAGATAAGTCTTTGTTTTGCTCATTAACACAACAAGAAACAGGGGAAAGTGTGTGTGTGTGTGTGTGTGTGTGTGTGTGTGTGTGAGAGAGAGAGAGAGAGAGAAAGAGACGGAAATGTAGGCTACACTATCTACACAGCAGTAGTGAGACATTGAGAGATTGTCTTTCCGGCGAGAGACAGACAGACGCCTGGGGGTGTACAACCCACCCACCTGCTTTCAAAGGGTGGCAGGTCTACCTGTGGAAGCCACTTGCTGAGGATAATGGAGACCTGTGTGCTGCTGAGAGACCCAAGTGTATAGGATTGATTTCCAGAGCTGTTCTTAATCTTTGTAAGCACACCTAGTTTAGCCAAAATACTTACAACTTAAACTGTGGGCATGTAAAGTGAGCTCAATGTATGTGATGTATGCAATTAGAAGAGCATAGATTCACATAAAGCAAGTAAATCAAATGGACAGCGAGAAGAAATTACTCTGAAACAACAACAGAGTGATGTGCAAAATGACAAACCCTCTCCTAACTCTCTTGTTCTCCTAAAAAATACACTATTCTGTTTTCACATAAAATAAAAAGTTAACAATTCTGCGACTCCCCATCATCATTTTACCTTTCGTGCAAATAATATAGCTGTTTCACTTTACATTGATTTTGGTGGTGAAATCTCACAAAGTGGCCTAAAGTGAACACAATCAAGAACAATGTCAAGAAAAAAACCATCTCATTGGCTTATAGCTGAATACTCAATGCTGATTGTTGCATTTGGACATTAGAGGTCTACTATTTTTTGCCAGCACTTCAATTTAACGTCAGCTGTGGAAAATAAAACATTAGTTTTCCTTCATCAGAAAACACCAAGGAAGACCAACAGGAAGTAAACACTAACGGGAAAAGCAGAAGAAGACAGACAAGAAGTAAACACTCAAGTGAACAGCAGTAGAAGACCAACAGGAAGTAAACACTAACAGGAACAACAGAAGAAGACAGACAAGAAGTAAACACTAAAGTGAACAGCAGTAGAAGACCAACAGGAAGTAAAAACTAACAGGAACAACAGAAGAAGACAGACAAGAAGTAAACACTCAAGTGAACAGCAGTAGAAGACCAACAGGAAGTAAACACTAACAGGAACAACAGAAGAAGACAGACAAGAAGTAAACACTCAAGTGAACAGCAGTAGAAGACCAACAGGAAGTAAACACTAACAGGAACAACAGAAGAAGACAGACAAGAAGTAAACACTAAAGTGAATAGCAGAAGACAGATTTGTTCGCCTTACGTTATCCCTTATCAACTTTTATCACCAAATTGTGTCAGTCCAACTGTCTGTTTGAGGTTTTTTTTTCATGAATCAGTATAGGTTGTGAGTATTAGCTCTGAAGTAATCAGTTGAGCTGTCGAAAAGCGATTGTTTATTACTCTAAAAGCAAACAGTATCATCTTACTCCTGCCTCAGGGTATAAAACTCTTTTGTGTGCCATAAACCTGATTCACAGCTCAGACACAATCACTGATGACAATATTCTTATCTTCACATATATCTATATTGAGAGTCTGCCAACAGTGAAGAGATCCATTCCCCTTTGCTCAACCACCAGGCATGTTTCAGGTTTGGAGAGGTGACGGGCCGGGGTCTTCTGATATAAAGAGGCCATTGTATCACAGAGGCAGCCGTCCAGAAAGCTGCTCGAATCTGTATCTGCAAACATTAATAATATGCTATTCTTATATGAATGTAGTGACAGGTGAGCAGATCTGCAGGTGAGTCATGTCTACCTGAGGTTATGTCTCAGTCTGTTTCCACATCATGTCTCTTCAGGAAAAGCTTCGGGTGCACATTTGAACTGTTGATCTTTAAAAAGAAAAAATCCAACATTATATTAGATCATATTATGTAGTGTATTTATCCCAAATTTGGATTTTTTTTCTTCTAACGGCAGCAGAAAGTTAATAACACATAAGTTACAATATGATAAATATAAATAAAATACAAATAGTATAAAAAAGGTGAACATATATATCAACAGTAAAAACATGAATAGAATATGTATGTTCTGCTGTTATGTATTTAGAGTTTATGATTATCTTTTATTTGATTCATTTTATTATATTTATCCTAGAAATATTTTTAAGGAAATTAAATTAAGAAAATAAATGCAACAAATGTAATATCGTAATTTTTCAATCTCAATTATTTTCTTTATTATAAAACAATGTCAACTCCTTCGATGAAACATACATTTAATAGCCAATTTTTGTCTCTTTTCTTTAAATTACGAAAATATAACTATTGTCGTTTTATCAGCACTTCCACAGCATTTTCACTCTAGGTCTCATCCTGCGCAAAAAGAATGACAGACAGATTCGTTTTTATTTTGATACATTTTTTGATTTTATTTTGCAGGTAATTCATGGGTGCAAACAACTCAATTTCTATACTGACAAGTGCATACACATATCTGGAAAAAACTAATTTCAGTGAATGAAAAATGACACTTTGTCCTTATTATTATGTACATATTTATTTTCACAATTGTGGAAGATGGCATTTCGAAATCCTCCTCACCTTACTGTTTATGTGTCAGATATTCTTTAGTTAATTTGACACAGATTGCACAACACACGTTATGATGAAATAATACAAGTCAGTGCAAAACATTTCCCATTTTAGTTCATATTTGAATTTAACACGGACATTATTTGAGAAATGTTGTGGGATATTTTTAATTTACGCAATAAAATCCAGTCTGCAGGCCCTTATAAATGGGCCTCTTTTTTTCAAACTTCTACAGCAATATTTTAAATCTTTAATGTCTTTTACTCTATTTTTCTATATTCCAAGACAAATAGGGGCTTGAACTGACTTGAGGGCAGTAATTCGGAAAGTCATTGCAGAATCCTCCCAGCTCTGAGTGGCCGCTCTTGGATAAAAACTGTCCCGGAGCAGAAGTCTTGGCCGAGGCGCACTCCTCTGGACACGGACTGAACGCCGCGGCACAGGGGATCTGGTGAGAGTAAAAGTAGCTGGCTTGTCCAGAGATCATGTTAAAAGAGTAGGGGTCCGACAGAGGCAGGGTGCACGCGGGGATGGACGTGGAGAAAGCGGTGCACGCGGTGCCAATCTGATGGCGTCGAGATTGCGCGCAGCTGAGTCCGATGTAAGACATCTCCTGGTGGGTCTGCAGGAACCGATCTGCGTCAGCGGCACTGGACGCACTCAGCCGCTGGGAGACCATGGAGGTGGCGTGGTTTGGGAACCGCGGTGTCAGGTAAGTCCCCGTGCCAAGGTGAGTGCGCACTGGTGTTTGGAGAGGAAGAAACGGTGGCCAGTAAAACGAACCAGCGGCGGCTAAAGTCACATTGGTGGCGGTGCTGGAGGACATCAGGCGACCTCCTCCTCCTCTTTTTAACGCAAGCTTGGTCCTGGATCCAGCCGTGGCTCTGCGCCGGAGCTTCCCAGATGTGCCACCAATAAACACGTCCTCGCTGCAGGGGTCCAGCATCCAGTAGTTGCCTTTCCCCGGGTCATCGTAGTGGCGCGGCACTTTAACGAAACACTTGTTCAGGCTCAAGTTATGCCGGATTGAGTTTTGCCACCCCTGTCTGTTCTGTCTGTAATAAGGGAAGTTTTCCATGATGAACTCGTAGATGCCGTTCAGAGTGAGCCGTCGCTCCGGGCTCTGACGGATCGCCATCATGATGAGCGCGTTATAGCTGAAAGGAGGTTTCTCAGGTTTAATGCTTTCTTCTTCTCCTCCTTTCTTCTGAGTCCCCTCTCGTTTCCCAGTCGTAGGCAGGGGTTTGTTCCCCCCTTTACCGGTGCTTTCACTGTCAAAGTTTTTCTCTTGGCTGGGTTTCTCCGGAGGTTTCTGGGACACAGAAGGAGTCTCCTCATCCATCACTCCCTCTCGTCTCAACAGCAGGCTGCTGATGCTGAATGAGGATTTGTGGAAAAATCGGTCAGAAGTTTTCAAGTCCGCCATATCTGTCATAAAGTCCTCAAAGACTTCCAGTGATGAGAGCAGAGCGACTCACTGAACTCTGATGCGAAGTGGTGAGGAGCCAAAGACACAGAGAACAAATGCGCATGATCACAGGAGCGTTAAAGTGACACAAGTGGTGCATTCAACAGCCTCTTAGGGTTGGGGGGATTACTTTACAAATCTGAGTATCACAATGAAGAAGCCATCTCCAAGTGGTTGACGAGCTGAGCGCTATAGCTAACCAATCAGAGCAGACTGGGCTCTGGTTTCAGACAGAGGGTGAAAAGAGGTGCTGCAGCACATTATGAGAAAAATAAACACCCTTTTCAACATCAAAGGAAGCAAACATGTCACAGTAGAGGCACAATATACTAATTTGAACCTGAACATGAGCAGAATATGGCCCCTTTAACCCATTAAAGAAAAAACAATCACTTTCAAAAAGGCCTATAAGTCACTCAATGTCCATTGTCAATAGAAACAGATCCATATAAACGGGATAATAATTGAGTTAAAGAGGCGTTTTTAAAGGATTAAATGCTGTCAATCTGTGTGACTGATCGGTGAACTCTCGGGTTCACTTATAACACTTCCGGGACTCATGAAACTCAACCTGCACAAGCCTTTCCCTCAGGGCTGGCCTCATCACGCTCTTTTACTCTTTTCTTCTTCCTGTGCACCTTCTCTGACACCATGATTTGGCAAAATGCCTTTAAAAGTATAAGAAGATGTGTGGCCCAAAAGGATCTCGTAAAGAAGTAAAACACTTGGAAATATCTGTGAATAGTGCAGGGTAATTCCACTTATAACTACACATGTTATTGTTTAAAAGAAACTGAAATTTCTTGATTAACTTCCCAACACAGGTAGAAGAAGTATCCAAAATTAAAATTATAATACCAAAAGAAACACAAATCTGTTCAAAGAAAAACATTTGAACGGTTGTGATCCTAAAATATCATACCCCCATTAACATTTTCAAAACAACAATTTTAGTTTGTGAAGTTTATTTATTAAATAATAAATAAAAAGATAAACCTAACAACCTAACAATTCATTTGTATTAGCACTTACTTAGGGTACTAATCCCCAATTTTCTTTTAAATGTAACAGTAATCTGATTACATGTTGTTTTATGTAGGCCTAACGGGTAGGGAATCTTTGTTTTTGTATCCTGATTACTCATTACATGTAATCCAATACTCCACAACACTGAAAAATGGAAACATTGACTTTAATTAAATGTATTATGTCAACAGATTTGACATGATTAGTTTAATGCAATAATATTATTGCTTTAACCTGTTACGCCCCAAAGCCCCCCTCGGCTGGGGCTTTGGGGTCTTTATACCTTTACGGAGCTTTTACGGGAGATCGTCTCACCGTAGCTGTCAATCTGATCAAAAGACTTGTTCAATGGCATTAAAACGAGAAAAAACGCGACTGAATCGGTTAACCCATAGGTTGATAATGTTTCTGTGGATTTGAAAAAAATATTTGTAATCCATAATTCCATTTGTATGTAAAAATCGGAGAGTAAAAGTTAGCTGCTAATGGTAGCTACCAGAGTTATTGCAGCTTCCGGTTTTGGCTATGCGTCAGTCTCACACACACACATTACCAAATACGGAGTATGTGGGAGTTCCCCTCGATTCCATTGGCTCTGACGGTTAGAAAGAGATGTCAATCAGCAAAATCGAGCAAGGGGGGCCAGAGATATGGAAAATCCACCCAAATGACCCCAGAAGTGTTTTTTTGGTGCTAAATCTCTCTAAAAAGGTCAAATTTAACTTGTTTTGCATCAATCTTGATACAGGGTACTTATTATATGTTGTAGTTTGGATTCCTAAAGCTTTTAGTCTCCAATCCCATCATTCAAGGCTGGTTTTCATTATAAGTAATTTTTTTTTTTTGGACGGACACAATCATTTAAATTTTTTTTACTGTTCAATCTGAATTTACTTTAAAATAAAAACATCTATATTGATTCTGACACTTCTACATCCAACTCACAGATGTAACCTTGCTTTGAGAAAAAAGATTATTAATTTAACCCTTTTAGAAGTGAAGATATGGTCATTTGTTCTGGAAATGTCATTTTCAAGCCTGAGACCTGAAAAACAGGCTCGGGGCACTAACCTAAAAACAGTTAACGTTTCAGTTTTTTCCCTATACAACTGGAACATACCATATTAAAGACTGTTCTAAAGTAATCCCCTCCTATGCTGTGTTTGACAGTTCATATGTCAGACATCAAACATGAGGAAGTACACATTTAATCTGTCATCATTACACCTCCTCTTTAGTTTATTTGAGATGAGTCTTCCTCCATAATCCCCGCGCTACACAAGTGAGCACTTGTTGGGAATGTCTCAGACTCTAGAAAGCACACCTTGTTTTCTTAATACCTCTAATCCCCTGGTTTATATATTTCTTTGTTTAATATTGAATATCAAGTCTTGTGTTGTTTACAGTGATTTATCATTAGCAGCCTCTATTACAATTATGAAATAGACTAACTCTGCCAACAGTTACAGTTGGACAACTTTATAATCCCTGAATGTCACTAAACCCTCAATCCCAGCTGTGCGCGTCATTTTCCGTTATGTTTTGAGCTCAGCCTTTTGTTTATGCAGCGCTTTTATTAAACGTTGTACATTGGTGAAGATGTTTCTTGATTTGCACGTGTTTTGGCACATTTCTGTTTTTATATTTGTATTGTCACTGAAGCTGCAGTGTGTTTCTGCTAATGGAAATGTTTTCAAATCTGAATTCAAAATCTCAGACACTCAAAATCCAGCACAAGACACTTTACGCTGCTATGGACAATCTGCAATAAATGCACATTTTATGGACAATCTTGCACCAAAGTTATTGATATTGAAGTGACTGTTATTTTGTGAATATTGATTGTTGTTTTTTATCTTAATGTGTGCATATGTGTAAGTTGATTGTGTATATAGGATATACATATTTTATACATATGTATTACTGTATCATTTTACATTCGGATTGTTAGAAACGTCATTTCGATCTCTCCGTCTGTAAACACAAACCGAGTTAGATTGACATTAAAGTTGACTTATAGGCTGTTGTAGCGTGTTTGAACCTGTCAGCCACCGTACAATTGCATTAAAACACAGCTCTATCAAAGACAATTGTTGTAGGCCTCACATTAGTAACAAAGTCAAATAGTCCAGAAAATATAGCATTTATTTCCAAAAGATTTGAATCATAAGCGATATACTCTTTTAAAGTTGAGCCTCATGCCTTGTTATAGAGCAAAGATAACTGAAATGTATTGCCTGCCATGTTAATACTGCACTAAAAAGAAGCATCGCAAAGTTAAAGAATGTGATCAAATAAAAAAAGTTATAAACATATTTATTTAAGTGCATTGATTTTATGTAACTTTTAAATGATAGTTGCTTAATTTATTATAACATGAGTCATTGTGAGCAACTTCAAAGTTGAATGAATGAATTGAATATTGTTTGCAAAGCTAAAGCCTGTAGTGGTGGCTCCCCCTGTCTGTCAGCCTGTGAAACATTCCCTTATTACCACTGGTGGAAAGTCACTCATTTACTCAGTTCCTGTACTTGAGTTACATTTTGGAGTACTTTTTTTAGAGTATTTCCATTTAATACTACTTTATACTTTTACTCCATTACATTCCTTAAACAGCTTTAGTGCCTTTTCAGATGTTCAATTAAAAAGCATGTGATACACTTTGAACATAATGCATCTCTAAAAATTGTACTAGTGGACTAACTGTTTAAGGTACAACAAAGTAAAGTTATACAATATATTACAAAAAAGTCCTCACATGAATAATTTGTGTATCAAAGTGCTGTTTGTGTACAACAGTAAAATGCTGCTTGATGAAACAATATTACCTAATTATCTAATAATGTCATATATATATAATATATCAAATATTTAGTTCTGCAGAGTTAGTACTTTTACTTTGTATACTTTAAGTACATTTTGCTGACCTGTACTTCAGAGTGTAGGACTTTTACTTTGAATGGAGTATTTTGACATTAATGCTACTTTTACTAGCACTGATCATAATCCAGTCGTTTCATATGATCCTGAAATGGACCTTTAGGCATAACCAGTACTTTTACTTTTGGTACTTTAAGTATAATTAGATGCCGATACTCTTGTAACTTAAGTCACTTCTTGAATGCAGGACTTTAGCTTGTAACAGATTACTTTTTCAATTTAGTATGGTTTCTTTTACTTCATGAAAAAAAATCGCAGTTCTTAATCCACGTCTGCTTATTTCAGATGATAAAAGAAAGCACAGAGAAAAAGTTAGGGTTTTATTTGAATGATCATGTTTATAGCTTTACAATGACTCTTTGTGAAGCCAGGGAACTGATTGGCACTCAAACCCTTTAAAGATAAGCCTTATGTGCTCTTCAGTTGTTGCAGCACACCGTAAAGCTTCGCCCCGGGACATTCAGTGTCTCCCACATCTCTGTGTCCACACAGGCCGAACTGGGGCTTTATGAAGCCCTGAGACACGCCGGACTGCAGCAGCTGCTTGACTGAAGCCAGCGCTTCACAGCTCGGTGCTTCACCTAAAATATAAAAAATGCATTGTCATCATATGTGACATCTTAACACATTACATTTCACGCTTTTATTGAAAGTTACTCACAATAAGTGCAATACACCACAAAGATACAAAATTAATTAAAATTAATTAATTTAAACTTGAATCCTTATTTTATTCTATTTTCTTTCTTTTTTAATTCCTTTTTTAATTCTTATTTTATTCAGTCCTATCTGTTGGCTTTTATTGGTATTCATGTATTTATAATCATGAAGTTATGTGTGACATGTGGTAGTGTTATTTTTCTCTTTTTGTTTTTGTTGGTGAAGCACTTTGTGTATGAAAAGTGCATTACATTAAAAAAGGAAATTAAAAGATAACATTTTCTACATATACAAGTTGAAGTCGCTTTAATGACCAATGACATATTTCTATTTCCTTGATATTTCCCTACAAATGATCTCCGTTCATTAGGAAACAGACAGGACTCACTGACCCGTGAGAACCTTGTCTTTATGTTACACAATGGATGAAAAGATTAAGAGCACGCCTACTTTTAAAGTTGCCCATGAAGGCAATCCCCAGTGAGTCATGATTGTTGCCTTTGGCATGAGCACCCACCGCGCCCCAGCCACGGCCCTCGAACACCGTCCCGTCTGCTGCTACCAGGAAACTGAAACATAGATAGAGTTTATGGTTAGACGGCATATTCTGCTCATTTCAGGTGTGTGGGAGAGAAACTCCGTCTGGAGAGAACACAGGGATTTTAGCCTTTGCAGACCATTTACATGCACACAAACCTATTAACACACTACAGGGAAGGGGAAATACCTGACACATAATAGGGCCTCTTTAAGGACCTAGGATTGGAACAAAGTCCAAACTAAAGAGAAAGAACACATAATTAAGTGTCCCTCCATTACGTCCACATTGTAAACACTGTATGAACATCACTCAGAAACCACATGTCCCTGCAGCTACTCACTTGTACCCGATGTCATCCCATTTTCTCTCAGTCATGTGCCCTCTCTGGATGCTGACGACGCGGCTCACACACTCGCTGCGGCTGCTGCAGCTTGGGGTGTCCGTGTGGTGGATGATCACTCTCTGAGCACAGGAGATCTTATCCGGCGCCTGCTTCGGAGCAGCCGCCCCCCACTGCTGCCTCGACACTATTTCCACTGAGGAGAAATCAAATAAATACTTTTTGAAAATGTCATCAGCAGCAGGGTTGGGAGGGTTATGTAATCCTTCTGAGGATCCAAATATGAAAGTTATGTAACCTGGATACTTTATTTTGGATTATCTCAATATCAAATGCAATGAAACACATGAGCACATATACTACAGTTAAAATAAGCAGGAATAAAATCTGAGCTAATAGAAAATGCTGTTTTAGTTAAGACATACAGTTAAGCTCACACACACTATTTTATGAACATATAGGTTCACCTGCTGAATAAAAAAAGAACAAATGAACCAAAGAAAGTGAAAACCATAAAGCAGATTCAGGCAGTAGGCGTATAGATTCACACTTAAAGTATTAGCCTACAGAACAGCACAGCTTACAGAGAAGAAATACAATCTGACCTTTATACAACAAACACTATATACTATTTTTATTTTGTTACTATCAATGTAATCTTGGTGGTAATACACCATTTTCAGAAATGTAATCTGACAGCGTCTCCCAGTGTAATGTCTGCAGTGTGAGGATGTTACCTGTAGGTGCCATCTCTCCGTCAATATATGGATTCAGCTTGCTGTGCATCGCCTTATCTTGAGTGACTCTCAGGAGGCGTGGTCTCGGGGAAATACACCTTCCTGGTTTCTTGTTGTTTCATGCCAATGCACAAAATACATTCCAACTACTCGTCTGACTGAGTAATGATTCTACAGTTGCCAAACAGGTCTTTGGAATATACGTGTGTGGATACAAAAGAGGAAGTTGATTAAGCACTCTCAATCATTTACATGGTGGCATTTTTTTTCTTCCCACAAATGAGGCATTAATACATAAGATAAATGATGTTTTAAGTCACAGGAGTTTTTAGGGGAAATCAGCTGTTTTGTAATATCAGTCATTATGCTAAAATCCCCATCAAGCAGAATGTAACAAAGTATTATATTTACATCATTTTACTTGAGCATTTCCATTTCATGCTACTTTATAATCCTACTTATTTAACACTCAGTTACTTTAAACACACTATGCTTACATTAATCATATCAATATAACATATCAATCATGTATTCTATAAAGTCTCTGAAATTGGCTCCATATTGAACAACAACATAAAGTTTGTTCATGTGATAAAAACAGAAACCATTCTGCTACTTTTACTTTTGATACTTGAAGTCCATTAGGCTGATAATACTTCTGTACTTAATATTTTTCTGAAATGGGTAATTTTACACGAGTACTTTTTGTTTTTGTGGCACTTTTTGTTTGAATTCTGGATCTTTACATGGAATCGAGTGTTTAAAGTAGAAATACTTTGTCCTAAAATACAAGATAGATCAAAGATGGAATCCTATCTTGGAGTCCTAATCGACAATTATCTCTCTTTAAGCCCCACATTCAACAACTGGTGTAAAAATTAAGGATTTCTTTCTTCCTTTGATGCCAAAAAGAGAGTTATTGCTGCAACCTTAATGTCGGTGCTGGACTCTGGTGATGTGGTTGATATAAATGCATCTTCTACATGCCGTCACTCGTTTAATCCCTTCTACCACTGATCATTACAAACCTTAAAACCCTTGAACGCACCACTGCTCCTTGTATGCTCGGGTTGCATGGTCTTCTCTGACCACCGTAGACAAAACCAGTAGCACACTATATTTATGAGCTCTTCCAACTTATTTTTGCATATTTTCATTGAAAAAAAAAAGAAGCAAAGAACTAAAAAGGTACCATGGGGTCAGATTAGAATTTTCCAAAGGCGGGTTCATTTGGCATGACACACTTGAAATAACTAAAGGACAAGTTAAACAAGAAAGTAGAAAGAAAGGGAGGTGATAGAAAACTATGTCTGCTAAAAAGTTGATTGAGAGTCAGACCTAAACATTTCAGATGTGTCTCACACTGCACTGTAACTTTTACTCATGCATCTTTGCTTTTAAATGACATGAGTGTTTTTAAATGCCATTTTATAGTTTCTTTTAAATGTGTGTTTTTAAATGTCATTCATAATATGTTTCTTAATGTCTTTCATTTTTGTAAAGCACTTTGAATTGACTTAAATAAACTTGCCTTGTTGGAAAAAGTGCAAGAATCCATCAGCTCCGTTCTGAGAACTTGTTTTTACTAACGGTCCCTGAAGTCTACACTGTGCGGGGGCAAAGGGCGTTCGGTTCGGCTGCTCCTTCTGCTTTGAACCAGCTGCAACATGACCTGAAACTCAGATTTAACGGATTTATACAAGTGCTTCTTAAAGCCCGAGGATTCATAAATAAATGAGTTCACGGTCTGAGTAATTCTTCTACCTCTGTTTAGTGTGTCTGCTGATGTGAACATTCGTTACACCTTTTCAATAAAAACGCAGAGACATTAGAAACAATTGATTCTTTTAATCTAACAAAACACACCTGAATGACAACTGTTATATAAAAAATAACTATTAATACAAAATATTCACATGATAGAAACTAAAAAGACAAACAAAAAGATGGTTTCAGAGTTTACAAACACCAGCAGTTAAAAAACTCTGTTGGAGATTTACTGTAGATAAAATGTCAGACCTCTTCACCATCTGCATCTTTACTCCGTCCATCTGTGTCCACAGTGAGGCGCTGTGCACACGTAGTACAGTCTCATCGCGTCCTGTCAGGAAAACACAATGTATGAGAGCTTTTAATTCAATATCAAATACCAAACTAAAGATGTGCAGACAACAGGATTAAGGTCTTCCTCAATAAAACGTATTCCTCGACAAACAATATCAAGACTTCAGGTCATGCATTGTGTTATATAGTCATTCAAAAGCATCATTACCTCAGCCTTCATACTGTGAGACTGGAAGAACACTGCCTCCTTGTGACCACACCTGGGGAGAGACATGGAGAGAGAACAATGTTAAAAACCCCTATAAACACAGCTAGTTGAAAACTCAATTCTGATTGGTCGATTTGGAAAGTAGCTCTGATTAATGTGCAGAAAGAAGTCTGGTCAATTTAACGTCAACTGTGGACAACAAACATTAGTTTCACTCCATCAGAGTCTTTTTGTAAGTTCACTTTTTATATTTGTGGAGAGCACGATACTTTCATGATGGCTAAACCGTCTCCAGTAAAGAAAAGAAAAAAGAGAACAAGAGAAGGAAAGAGACAGTGAGCTGGACGTCAGAGAAAGACCGACAGGAAGTAAACACTAACGGGAACACAGGTTGGGGTTGAATTGTCCAAAAATCAGCTCCTATCATCTTTTCTTAACCACTATTCCTTAACCTCTGTGAGAAACGTCACTGGGTTAACAAAAGATGATAGGAGGACTCATCAGGATTTAGGTGGTTTGCGAATCCATCTGCACTTACGCTATGTGACATGATCATTCATGAGACGCCAGTGGATGTTATTAATGTATTTCTGCCGTGGGTAAAGAATCATTTGCTTTACTGCGGACAACTTTTAGCGCACCTATAGATACTTTGCACTGTGCGCTTTTTGTCCCTGCCCGGTTTCCAAAGTGCTGATTCCCTGTCTGTTACTTTAGATGAAAATAAGGAGCCCCTCCCCACGCCCCTCTGAGAGATATTTGGTTAAAAAGAACACAATGGTGCTCTAGGAGAAGATTCAGGTGATATGGGGGGGGGGGGGGGGGGGGGTTACCTTGGTTGGTTATTGGCTAATGGTTACACAAGCCAAACAATCGTTATGACATCATAAAGTGGCCAAAATCTGATCAGCTCATTTTCAGACAGGTTTTTATAGAAATGGATCAGGACAAAAAGAGAGAGAAACTTTCAGAATCTCTTTACACCGAGGGGACGTGTTGATGTAGAAAAGACATGAAAAAGTGGATTTTGCATAATAGGTCCCCTTTAATGGTCGCTCGCACTCCCACTGCGGTGGACACGTATTAATCCACATGAATCCTAATACATATGATTGTATGAAAACAATTGTATGAAGACAGTTACGTTGCTGTCGTCGCGGTTCCAGTGGCTGGTACGCATTGGACCGGACTACCAACAATTATTTAAAGAATATTTATTTGATGCCAACATAAGTTATATTGTAAAAACTTACTTGGGGCATGGGTGGTCCTCTGTCCTGGGTAGTGTCGGATCCTGAGAAATATCAGCGATGATTTGTGTCAGCTCACTGGAGAAAGACAGAAGCAAGATGCTAGATTAGTTACTCACAATTAGCCTTCAAGTGCCTGGCATTACACAGGAAAGATGAGACTACTAATCGCCAAACATTAGCCGCCTTTAGCTTAGCAGTGGTGGCGTGAAGTCATGTGACCGTGATATAGTTCCTTTGTAGCATAACGTTAGCTTTTTTAATACAAAAATCATAAAGTGGTATTAGCATGTGGAGATCATCCTTCTGAACAAAATGTGTAAGTATCATAAACGTTTGTTTGACACAGACAATATTTTCTGCAATAATCCAATTGAAGATCCCATTGCTTTCTGCCAAGCGAACCAGAGAGATGTTGCCTTCAGGGTCAGCTACAGTAATTCAAGACTTTTATTTTCATTCGTACATAGCTATGGTGTAGTTATGTAGATGAACATTTTAGGTACCAAAGAGTAGAACAAAGCGGTTTAAAAACGGTTTTATCCCAGCAGCTATTGCACAAATTAACACATCATAGGAGTGTCACACAGATGCCTATTTATTTAATTATGAATTTTGAATGTCCATGTTTGTACTAGTGTTTTCCTTCCTTCTTAAATGTTTTTCAAATATTTTGAGATTCGACGGAGCAGGGTGTACTTGTACTTTTTGCTAGTCCTTTTATTAGAGATGTGTCTGTTGTTTGTGTTTACAGTGTGTCAGGATGGATCCCTTGTCTTTTTCTCTGCAAACAAAATCTACCTACGGGTACAAATAAATTACCTGAACCTGAGGTCAAAGGCTCATCCAACAGTGCAACACAATAAACAGATAAAATAGTGCAAGTAAATACAATAGAATAGAATAGAAGTAGTGCCATAAAAGTCTATATACAAGTGATAAATAATTTGTAAGTTGCAAACAGGTGAATGTTATGGATGTTCTTAGTTCAGGTGTTTAACAGTCTTATGGCCTGTGGATATGTCATCACTGCACTACTCTATTATAAGGACTGCCTAAAAGTGTTTGAGTAATGCATTTCATTTGATGTGCCGATGACCATCTTTGTGTTGATATTGATAAAGTGATGTCGCGGTGACCCAACAAACAGGAAGCAAATTCACACCACAAAGAAAAGTTTTAAACGCATTTATCAGAGACATAAGAACTGTCTTTTACTTACTCAACCTCGTGGGTGATCTTGTTGACGTAGATGCAGCTGTTGTCCGCCTCTTGTTGGTAGTCACAGTTCCTGCACTGATGGATGAAAAGAAACTGCTTATTCAGCGTCTCATTCAAGCTTCAAATAAGTGGAAATGCTACAGCCTCATTTATCAAATCCAACAGAAAAGTGCACATATTGCCTAATTTAGCATCACAACAGTTGCAACATATGTTTGAGAGCAGTTTCATGATTACCTTTGAAAATACATTCATTACATTTTTTTAATCTTGTATTTTTATGTCTTAACACACTTTTATGTGAATCTTTTCCCTTTGCACCGTTCTTTTTGGAGTTTACACTCACTGAGGGCTTGTTCCTTTTTCCTAGGTTTCTCATATAACCTTTATTAAAAAAATATGTAATAGTTTTGTTTTATCAGTTCTTAATTGTATGTCTGTTTGCATCTCTCTCTTTGTTGCACTCGTATTTTACTTTAGTATTTCAATCTTTTGCTACTTCGTCTACCCCACTTCCATTCATAGGTAAATATTGTACTTTTACTCCACTAAATGTATGTTGTACCTTTAGTTACTTTGCAGATATAGATTAATGATAAACAATAAGATCATCAACACTAAAACACTTCAAACAATTCACAAGCTTGTGAATTGTTTGAGGTGGAATTAATGTCAATTGCTTTATTTACTGCAGTGCAGTATATAAAGTAATTGACATTAATTCCACCTTTACCAGCTTTGATCAACACAACAATACATCAATAACAATAACCACAACATATAATATATATATGATTCTGAAATGGGCCAATCTGCATAATGAGTACTTTTACTTTTGGTACTTTTAGTATATTTAGATGCCAATACTTCTCTTGAGTTACATTTTGAATGCAGAACTTTTACTTGTAACATAGTATTCATTCACTCTGGTACTTCTACTTTTTTTAAAAATACAAGATCCGACTACTTCTTCCACCTCTGTTTATGCTGCACTCTCGAAGGAGCCTGGGACTTAAAATGTTCACTGTAATTACTGTACATATATGACAATAAAACCTTTACATATTTGACTTGATAGTCTCAACCATTGATATCTGAACCAGACACTTACCGCGTAAAGCAGGATCCGGTTTTCTTTGTCTTCTTTGGGGTACAACATGTTGTTACTGGGAAAACAGTTAATTATTTTACACATTAATACGAAACGTTATATTTTCATTAAGACACTGTTGAGTTAACATGCGTTTAGCTTCAGCTAGCTAGTATGACTTATCTAACTTCTATTCAGCCACAAACTCACCATTCTTGACAAAACCGGATCCCCACAAACCCCGGCTCGAAGCTCCCAGTTTCCATATCCATTTTGAAAACTTTAGGTTGAAGATAAACACGACAAACTGTGATGTTGCTTCACTTCTGCTACCGATGCTAAGGCTATTCCCACTCGTTTGAAAACAGACCGTCTGCGCATGCGTGAAACGTAATCAGAGCAACAGCCAATGAATAGGTACATTACCGCCACCTAATGGACTGGAGTGTAGAGCAGAAAAAAGAAAACGAAGGCCCAATTCCAAAACACACCCTACCTACTCCCCCTCCGTGATGGAGTGAACCCCGTATGTAGGCAAACACTCAGCTTAATGAGGGACCCTTCTTTCAGATGGAGGGTGTAAATACAGCAGCAAGTTTTGGGACAAACTCCCCTCTCTCCGGAAGAAACAGGTGTGGTGTGGATAGTAAATGGACAAATCGTGATTCTGAAACAAAGATTACCATCCATTTAAAGTTAATCTTCATTCATACCTCCATTTCCTTCTGCAGAGAGCTTCCCTCTTCCAGGAATGGCTTCACCATTTCCTCTGTCACCGGGAAGTTTGTGGGAAGCTCTGAGCAGCGCTTTATAACACCGGGGTTGACTCCATTCAGGAACTGATATCCATAAAAGTCATCTTCCATCCAGTGGTTTGCAACATACTCTGGAAGAATAGCAATTGATATATTAAAAATACAACATAATTATATATGTGGTTTAATACGAATAACAATTGGTAAATTTAATAAATAATATAATATAATTTATCTAAAATGTTTTTGGGTGTTTAAGGTTCAACATAATCATCATTGTCATTGACTGTAAAGCAAGAATGTTTGTCAGGTATTTAAATAATTGTAACTTTTACAGAAATACTTTGTAGAAAACAAAACATTTTACAGAACAGGAAAAACATCTACTGAATATCTATCTGTTGTTATGAAACCATGACATAGATGGGGTGAGTAACACTGACAACTGGTTAATGGGATAAAAAGAAAATACCTGACATTGTTGTCTTTTTATACCAGAATATTTTTGTTATGTCTTCAATGCTTTCCCATTGTGCAGTAGATCCTTGCAGCCCCTTAACCTTGAGTTCAATACCACTGAAGTAAAACAAGGAACAATTAGAACACAGGAATAAACAACATACGGAAATGAATGGCAATTTACCCTTTCCCTCAATATATAAAAATCTAAAGAACAGAGCATAATAATAAATATATACACATTTAATGACATATATTGACCCACATTTTAGTTTTTGAGTAATTTAAGTCAGCTGTTCTGGAATCGGAGAAGCAGATTTCAGCTGATTCCAGACGATCTTTTTCAAGTGGTCAGCACTGTATTACATGTGATGATAGCCCATTACGTCAACTAGCTGGGTTGATATTTACAGTATAGAATACCAGAGCCCAGTCTGTTAATATTAAGGTTTTTTCTTTTACAATAGTGACTTATTTCAAATGAGTCCTCTCACTCAGGATTTGGCGACTCATTACAAAAATGTGGCTTACTTTATTAAAGATCAATATAGGTTTAAGGCAGTGGTTCCCAAACTTTTTCAGTCGGGCCCCCCTTGGGTAATTGGAAATATTTTCGGGACCCCCCCCAATCCGGTTCCCATCTATATTGGTAGGATTAATTGTATATTGTTGTAAAAACATTACATTTTTCTCTGCTGATAATAAGAAGATATAAAGATCCAACTATAATTTTATATTTATTATGGATTACACATGAACAAAAGTGCTTGTAGATACTGTGAATTAATTTGGCCTAATTAAAACTGGTTGGCCTTCTTCCCTGAGTAGTAGATTTTTAAATTCAAATTTCTTGAAGGAAAATATATTAATTAACTACTATTTCTATCACATTCCTATTCCACACATAGCTTATCAATGACTTGTGTGTGCTTGCTTTCCCTTGCAGATCTTCTCAAACCGGGGCTGTTGTTTTGAGACTGCCACTCTCAGTTCATTCTCAATGTTCAGCTTTGATCTGTATTTGGTTTTGATGGCAGCAACAGCAGAAAAAGCCTATTCACACAAGTAGGATGTTGCAAAAGGCAGCATTATGCCCACTGACCAATGAGATATTTTCGAGCAGTGTTTGTTTACAATTGAATAATAATAATAATACATTTGATTTATATAGCACACTTTAAAAACAACGTCATCTCTCAAGGTGCTTCACAAAGCTAAAAGGAGAAAATAATAAAATCTTCCCGCGACCCCCCTGCAGTACCTCCGCGACCCACCAGGGGTCGCGCCCCACAGTTTGAAAACCACTGGTTTAAGGTATTTTAAATGTGTTGAACTAGTGTGGTATACATTTGCGCTAAGTCTTGCACTAAATTATGACTTTAAATCTAAAGTGCTTACTTGATGATGCAATCTGTTATGTACAGACAAGTGCAGATGTTTAACTGGGTTTTACTTACTGCCCCTGTTTGAAAGTCGAAGCCATAGTTGTCCATCAAAGTTCGCTCACTCTGCCCCTCAGTTCCAAATAAGGTGACATAAATATAGTCCGATGTTCCTGCATATTGCACGTCACCCGTTGTTATCTCTAGCTTGTACGCAGCCATGGTCACCTGTGGATACTGTTTGGAAAAATAAACACATTTGAGTCTCTTAATTTACAGAATGAAGGATCCAATACGCAGCAAAACAAAACAATGCTGACATTGCCTGTGGATTGTGAACCTTCTTTCATGAAAACATTTTAATTTGGATACATTGCATTTACCCAAAACATGTTTTTTGAAACTCGAAATATTTGTCCACAGGCATCCAAAAACCTTATTATTGTGGCAGTAGCCGCAGAGGGGAGGATAGGTGAATGTATTTGTTTAAAGTTGGTTTGATTACACCCAGGGGCGCTCCTTGCGAACAGGCAACTGCTTGGGGCCCCGGACCAGAAGGGGGCCCCCAAAGAAGGTAGATTAAGAAGGTCCACAGCAACGACAACATGAAACACCCTTGAATTTACTGCAACGACATGTCGGGAAACCCCCTCAAGGCGGCCCCATGCATAGAAACCGTAAAATGCTGCTTCTCATCTTAAGTTTTGCTGTCGACTGTGCGTGGTGATGAAAAGCTGGTTCGAGGCACCCCCCAGTGAATGTTTGCCGAGGGCACCCTCCACTAAGGAAGACAAAGCAGGGCTATCAATATCAATTCTATCAATACGCTGGCAAATTGCAGAACTTCTCCTGAAGCGAGCAATGTTGGTGTATATAGGCTACTGCCTGAATATGCTTAATGAAAGACAGGTTTTCCTGTAAATTAAATCATGTCAAATTCTTAATATGTTATTTTCTAAGGTCACATTGTTCTGTTGTCTTACATAATACACTTCAGCTTGTTTCAGCTGATTTCAGTTTTGGCGGCAGTTCTTCCTGTTTGTCCAGAAGTCTTCTCTTCAGGGCTCTATAAATAGAGAACTAAGGCAGATATGTAATATTTAATGCAGCCGAACCGTGTATTACAATGCCGTTATGTGATGACTTTCAAAGAGAAAAGCAAGCACACTCGGAATAAAGTATTTTATTTAAAAAAAATGTTTTCGGATTTCACATCGCATAAACACCATATCCCAACATGCATTGCGGCTAAACCATCCAATCACCGAGCTGAGGATCTTGCCTACGTCTGTTTCCGGTATTGCTTATGACGATGTGATGTGAGATGTGAGATGTGAGACTGGGTTGGAGAATTGCACAGGGGAAAATAATGTATCTATGCCACAATTTTAGATGCGGATTTTGTTAAACTAATACGTTTGCACTGTGGACCAACACTATAAATTGACGGGGAAGGGGGTAGCAATAAAGATAACACCATTAACAGTTACACAACATAACAGAAATAATATCGATAGCAGCGTCCCTAGCAACCACCTTGGTAATGTTGGAGATGCGAGTGGTCTGAATCCCACCTCGGCTCCGCGTGTCCTTTTGATGAGTTGGTCTTAAATCATAAAAGGAAGGAATTTAAAAGCACCAGGATACCATTTTCAACAATAATCTGTTTTAATGGTAGAAAATAACAATACACCATACAGAGCACTCTGCAAAAGTACTCCGGGCTCAATTCCTACCACCGTGTGATAAACGTACCACGACAGCCAGTCAGGAAGAGAGCACAGAGCATAAGAATGTTACAGTATTTATACACATAAGCGGGGAGGAGTTGTGTCGGTTCATCCTCCCTAGCTGTTTGTTATTGGCGAGTTCACTTCTGGGCGAGCTAGCCAGTGAGTTGGCAGTTCTCCATTGGCCGGTTTCACTTCTGGGCGAGCCCTAGGCAATGGGTCAGCGGTTTGTTGATTCCATCTCCTTACTGTGTGTGTGTGTGTGTGTCCTCAGGCAGTCCCCCTTATCATGCTTTGGAGTCATATAATTTCACAGACAGAGGACTCTTTAACAGAACGCACACACATTCCCCCTAAACAACAGACGTCTGTGAACAGGTTTTCTAAATTAATTGTAGACCTCCTATCTGCCAGTGCAGCTTCAGAATCTTAATACTTGGACTGTGCCAACAAAATGAAAACACCAACATCTTTAGGTGAACTAAATAACATATTTCAATAGCTCTGAATTTCTGACAAGCATCTGTGTTATTCTTAAATCAAATCCTTGAGATCCTATTTAAAATCTAAATATAATATGAACTGTTAATGTTTCTGGTAAAGAAACACGCTAATGTTATGGATTCAAAAACAACCAAAATCATGATACTGACAAAGTGAATGATTTCCTGGTGATACTGCTTCTACCTGTCAGTGCTTAAATATTATCAAGCTGAAAATGAATACAGAATTCCAACAAACTGTCATCAAATGTCTTTCTATTATGAATTTAGATGAAATGTATATCCCCATAATGACCTAAACAATAAAGTCCATGGCTTTTACTTCTTTACCAGGCTAGTTACATGATGTTGTCTAAATTAAATTCTGTCTCATTACATTACTATGTTTTAGCTTAACTGTAATATGTTCTTTCTACATTTCAAACCTCAGTTACTTTTATACCTGTTGAAACATTACAAAATTGTTTCATTATCACAGGTCAACTTCTTCAATATTCCATTCTGAAATTACATCTCTCACAGTAGCCCCTTGGCCACTGACCCTAAATGAAAAAT